TTGGCCCCTAGCAGGGCGAGTATCTTAGCTGCCTATCTCTTCCGGTCCTGTTTAAACTTTCTAAGTGTTTTACTTTTTCATATTCCACCCTGGTCTAGTTTTAAGTTTCAGTGTTTTGTTTGTTTTGACTAGTATTTACACATTTCTGCAAAATCTCACATAATCCCTCAAGATTTTCATAAAATGACTACCTTCTCTAAGAGCATGTGTTTGGGGAGGGCTGGAGCTCTCTGCCTTGCATCACAGGCCTGCCTGGGTCGGGGGAGGGCGTATCTCTAAAAAACCGGTAGTTTCTGTTCAGTGTGTATTGTTTTGTTTTTAAAAGCAAAAGCAACCAAACTGAACTGCAAGTACATATGAAAGTCATTACATTTTGGGTTTTTTACTTGTAAAATTGTTAGCGAAGCCCCGTTTCCCAGTAATTCCACATTTGCTATATTCAGCTGCAGCTAAACTTCCCTGGGCTGTTACTGAAGAATCCTGCTGATTCCTACTAAGTATTTTCAGGGGTTGTATGCAGTGTTAGGGGTTGAACTAGGAATTCCACGCACAAGACGTGCCCTTTGGCCATTTCAGCTATCTCCCAGGCTCTGGAACATCATGCTTACCTATTTTATTTTCCTTTGTAAGAAACACATGCTTGTTAGTCCCTCTCCCCTACCTACTTTTATCATTTTCCCCCCTCCTCTTTTTGGGGGGTGGACATTTGGCGGTGCTCAGGCTTACTGTTGGATCTGTGCTCAGGGATCACCCCTACTGGGCTTGGGTGCCAGGGATCAAATCTGGGTTGACAACATACAAGGAAAGTACCCCCAACTCGTTCTTCTGTCTCTTTGGTCCCAGAACTACAGTTGTTAACCAAGAGACTGTGAAGCAACGGCCTAATAATATATAGATAAGAACTATAGATTATCTGTAGTTGACACTAAAGGAGCCAGTTTTGTTAGTTGCCTTATTAAAGGAATTGAGCTTTCTCTATAGCTGCTTGTCATTTTATAGACTATATTGTAAAGTGAATTTGTCTATTTTAATTTCATTATACTTTGTGCAAGGTGGTTACTTATAAAGTGATTCTGATAGAAGTAACCTTGTAGAGCACTTATCTAACTTAATGGTTGATGGTGTAACAGTGTTATATTTGTGTTTGAAATAATGACCTTGAATCATGAAAGTTGTTAAATGTCATTCAGTGTTTTTAAAATGTATGTAAAAAACATACATTTTTAGGGTCCAAAGTGATAGTACAGCCAGTAATGCAAGGATAAGGCACTTGCCTTGCAGGTGGTGGACCTGAGTTCAGTCCCCAACATCCCATATGGTCCCCCAAATATGCCAGGAGTAATTCCTGAGTGCAGAGCAAGGAGTAACATCTGAGCATCTCCTGATGTGACCCAAAAACCTTTTTTTAAAAAACATCATTTTAGAAATTATTCCAGAGGCCAGAGTGATAGTATAGCAAGTAGGGCACTCGCCTTTGTGTGGCTGACTTAGGTTCAATTCTCAGTATCATATGTGATCCCCTGAGTACTGCAGGGTGTGCCCCTCTAAAAAAAAATAAAGAAAAAAGAAAAACGTTTCCATCAAAAATAGTTAATTCATTTTAAAAAAAGGTAATTCATAAGCACAAGGTTTCTTAAAGGACTTAAAGTTACTGAACCCCAACTGTTTGGTTGTAGGTGAGTTCTGACATCACTTCCACCCTCTTTCATAAAAGCCACTGGTGAGGCCGGAGCAGTAATACAGCACGTAGGGTGTTTACCTTGTATGAGGCCGACCCTGGTTTGGTCCCTTGCATCCCATATAGTCCCCTGAGCACGGCCAGGACTGCTAACTTCTGAGCTCTGCCTCTGGGGTGGCTCCGGTAGCCCCTAGCTGATCGGCCCAAACGGCTCTGCATTCCCAGACCTGAGCACTGGACCTTTTGCATGTGCATGCAAGATTTTAGAAATAGCTTCCTGCTTACCTCATAAATGCATTTCCTATATTACCTTCTATAGAGACCTCGGTTTTCCTTTTGTGTTGGTCTTTAAATCACTTGGAATATGTGTATGGGATCTGGGGAGGTGACACTATTATTTTCTCCATAAATAGGTAATCACTGTCCTGGCATCATCTTGTCATCGCTCTCCTTTCCCTGCTACTCACTAGTGATATTGATGTCATAAAATTTCAGTTATGTGCATCTTTCTCTGGTCTTTGCCACCCTGTTCTGTTGGTTAGGTTGTGTGACGTTCTATCAGTACCATACCATCTTAGTCACTCTATAGAACTACTGACATTTTTTTTAAACTTCTTTATTGAATCACTGTGAAATAGACCCTTACAAAGCTGTTAATGATTGGACTTCAGTCATACAGTGTTCCAACGTCCATCCCTCCACCAGTGTCCCCAGGTTCCCTCCCATCACCCCCCACCCCTGCCTGCCCGCTTTTCTTCTCTCTCCCTCCCTCCCCTCCCTCCCTCCCTCTTCTTCCCTCCCTCCCTCTTCTTCCCTCCCTCTCTCTCTCCTTCCCTCCCTCCCTCTCCCTTCCTCCTTCCCTCTCTCCCTCCTTCCCCGTCTCCTTTTGGGCATTGAAGTTTGCAGTATTGATACTGAAATGTTATCAAGAAAATCCCTTTACCCAGTGTGCTCATTCCCAGTTATTATTACTACTGACATTTTCAGCAGATTCCTTCCTCTTGTTTTTCTTTGGCAGTTCTTGGCCATTTGGAACTTGCATAAAAGTTTGAGTAAGCTTACCATGTTCCATCAGAGATGTGTGTGTGTGGGGGGGGGGGGGTGGTTTTGATTAGGTATTGTATTGAATCTATGACTAAATTCGAGAAGTATCAGCATTATGTTGAACATTCTAGTCTGTAAACCTAGTGTTTTTATTTTTAAAGCCCTTACACATTAGTCTTCCATTGCATTTTTGCCTTTATGCAGCTATTTATAGATGGCTGTAAATACTGCAAATGGCATAAAACATCACGTGGTACATATAACTCAGAAGCATTAAGAATATTTACATTGTTGTGCAACCAGCAAAACTCTCTCCAGAAGATTTCCCAGCATCCCAAACTGAAATTCCATAGTCATTAAGCAGTTCATACTAGTCTCCCTTCTTCCCAACCCCTAGTAATCACTATTTTAAGCCTTTTTCCCTATAAATTTGACTGTGTTCTGAAAGTAGAATCAAAGAGTAAATTTTAGTAAAGCAGACTTCCTTTGGGAGGTGTGAAGAAAATCATAATAGGTCACTAAATTGAATTTGAGTGTGATTTATTGTGGGGTTGAGGGGGTCGGGGGGGGGCAGGGATCACACTCAGCAGTGCTCAGGCCCAAACCTGTGGTGTTGGGAATGGAACCTGGGTGGGTCTGCAGCATGTGAAGCATGTGCTCCACCCTTTGTTCTTCCTCTTGGATCTAAATTGGAATTTCTTTTGTTGGGGTCGGGGAGGGGCCACACCTGGAGGTGCTCAGGGCTTATTCCTGGTTCTGGGAACACTTGAGTGGGGCTCAGGAGACCTGTATGGGGTGCCAGAGAACCAACTCCAGTCAGCCACATGCGAGACAAGCACCACCCACTGCCGTACTATCACTCAACGCATATGTTGGATTTGATATTTAGCAAACTTTCTTAAAATAGTTAATTCTTAGTCCTGTGTATTAAAAGGGAGGGGGTTTATTTTTGTTAGAAATCTTTTCTCCTCCTCTCTCCCCTCCTCCCCACCACCCATGCAGGAGGGTATGCGCTTAGCCACTGAGCCACATCCCTGATTCCTGTTGTGTTTATTGTGTACTGTTTGATGTACGATTCTGATGTAAATTCTTCAGTAGTCTGATTTTGCTTTATGTTTCTGCTACTTCTTTTGGTGGTGATTTGTGTATTGTATATGAACTCTAATACCTTGGAAGCTTACTTTTGCTTTATGGTAATGCTACTTTAGCATTTTAAATTAGAAAGTGGGTCAGGGACATTAAAAATCTCTTGTTTGTTTTTTTTTTTCCTTTTTTCTTTTTGGGTCACACCCGGCGATGCTCAGGGGTTACTTTTGGCTTTGCACTCAAGAATCAGTCCTGGTGGTGTTCAGGGGACCATATGGGATGCTGGGAATCAAACCCGGGTTGGCCGTGTGCAAGGCAAGCGCCCTACCCGCTGTGCTATTGCTCCAGCCCCTCTTGTTTTTGTTTTGTTTTGTTTTGTTTTGTTTTTTAATGGCCTTGGTGCCACACTTGGTGGTGCTTGGGGTTTACTCCTGGCTCTTTGCTCAGGGATCTCTCCTGGCATCACTTGGGACCACATGGGATGCTGGGGATTGAACCTGGGTTGGCCACATGCAAGGCAAGCACCTACTGCTGTACTGTCTCTCCAGCTCCCAGAAATTCTTGTTCCAAGGTTTGGGGAACCATTTGGTATTCTGAATTAGATCCATTTAAGAATAAGACAACTGGGATAGTTTGTGGTTATAACACCTCAGTGTTTGTTTTGTTGTGCCAGGGGAAGGGGGGGGAGAGTGTGTTTGTGTGTTCATCCTCTGAGGAGGATTTCTAGCTCTCCCATAACTTGAGGGTAAATTAGGGTCCCAGCTTTACAAGGGTAATTATTTCCTGTTAGACAGCCCTTCTCCAGCAGGCCTTGGTCTTTGCTTCCTTTCGTGCACTGCCCTGCAATGTTATGAAATTCTGAGCTCAGACTTTTGCCTACTTTAGTGAATAACTGTCCCTGTTAGGATTCCAATTCCTTTACTGTTTTTCAACCTCTTGCTAGCTTACCAAAATATTTTCAAAGCACTTACTACCTTTCAGCAAACATAAGTTCTTTTCTCTAACGTAATTCAGGGAAACAAATCCACCATGTTAATAGAAATTTTCATTTTATATATTTAACTTTGAAAAGGAACTTGGTATTTTAAAATCAGTACTTAAGAAACTTTAAATGGAGACTAAAAAATAAATAAAATTAAATGGAGAATGGCCCTTTATGGCTTCTAATTAATGATATTTCTTTTTTTTATAGGTGTCAGCTGTGATGCATGTTTAAAAGGAAATTTTCGAGGTCGCAGATATAAGTGTTTAATTTGCTACGATTACGATCTTTGTGCATCTTGTTATGAAAGTGGTGCAACAACAACAAGGCATACAACTGACCACCCAATGCAGTGCATATTAACAAGGGTAGATTTTGGTATGTATTTAGCTGAAATGCTAATGAATCATTCAGAATTTTGTGTGTTTGTGTTTGAAGAACTAAAGGCAGAATGTTCTGAAACTATCCGCAGTACCATACATGAGGCTCCAAATTCATTAAAAATTAAAAGGAATGTTACTTTTTTGTTCTAAGTAATTATCTTAGTCATAATCTACTTTTTTATGAAAGCCTAGAAGAATGCCTCCGTAAAGAAGGAATGAGGTCACACTGACCTTGATGGCAGTGTGGAAGTGTTCTTGGTCTAGATATAGATTGTTTCGGGGGTCAGAGTGATGGTACAACTGGTAATGCAGCCTCGCGTGCTGTTGGCCTGGGTCTGTTCCCTCGCACCCATATCGTCCTCTTCCGTCAAACAAACAAAAAAACAAACAGCAACCAGAAACAGATTGTTTCTCAAGTTGATTAGAAGACAGTGCCAGTTCATCAGAGGGCCAGGAGTGTGCCAAGGGGATGGAGAACATGCTTCCCTGTTTCAGACCCGGGGTTAAGTCCCTGGCAACATGGCCCCAGCCCCCAAAACAGTGGGGCAAGCAAGGAAGGCTGTAATTGCTTACTGCTACTTTTTACTTTTTGTCTCTTACCCTTTTTGCTCGTACTTTTCCTAATGAGTGTGAAGTGGGTTTAATTTTGTCTGATGAGTATTCTTGAACTTATCGGCCATTTGTATGTCTACTTTAGAGAAATAACTGTTAAGACCCTTTGCCCATTTTCCAGTTACATAATATCTTTATTATTGAATTTTTAATATTTTTTTGTGTATTGTATACTTAAACTGCTTGTCAAGAGGGTGATTTGTAGATTTTTTTTTCTCCCATTCCGTGGGTTCTCTTTTCTCTTTTTTGGTGGTATGCTTTGAAGCACCGAAGTTTACACTCTATTTTAGTGTCAAATTACTGCTTAATTAATACATGTCTAAGAAGATTTAAATTTTTGTTTCCTTCTAAATATTTTAAAGTCTTCACTTTATGCTTAGGTCTTTTAACCATTTTTAGTTTAGTTTTTTTTTTTTTTAATATGAAATGAAGTGGTGGTCCAACTTATTTTTATGGGTTGGGGGATAGATTTGGATCACACCCAGCAGTGCTCAGACTTACTGCTCAGGGGTGGGACCTGGGTGCAAAGCAAGTGTCCTGCCTGCTTATACTCTCTCCCCTGCTTCATTCTTTCATATGTAAATATTGAGTTGTAGCGTCATTTGTTGAAAAGACTTTATACCAGTGAATGCTCTTGGTATTCTTGTTGAAAATCCTTGATCAGAGGGGCAAATGGTTTGATATTGATCAAGAGTAGAAGGTTTCATCGTGCAAAATGAGTAGATTCTGCTAATCCAGTAGTAACATGTGGTGACTGGAGTTATCCTTGTATATTTGGAATTTTAAAGAAGATAGATCTTCTATCTTTTAAGCACACATGCACAGTATCGATTGATTTTGTTGATCTCATTGTGTGTGTGTGTGTGTGTGTGTGTGTGTGTGTGTGTGTGTGTGTCAAAACCAGTCTTATATTTATTAAGTGCAAATGTTTATCATAATAAACAGTTTTTTAATATCAACATTATCTGAAGTCATAGTAGAAAAGTCTGGCAGGGGTGTAGCAACAAAGGGCTGGAGGCATGCTTACATACTGGAGCCTGAGTTCAGACCCTGGCACTGCATGATCCTCTAGCATCACCTGGGGTGAGTCTTGGGCGCCAAGCTTGGAGTAGCCCTTAAGTACTGCTGTGACCCAAAAAAGCCCAGAAAGGGGTGGGGCGGATCACTGGAGCATGAATATCTATATTTTTGACCCAGGTGTCTATTTTATTGTCTTCATACTAGTACTTGTCTTGATAACTGCAGCTTTATATTGTTTTGAAATCCAGAAATGTGTTTTTCCAGCTTTGTTCCTCCTCAGAATTGTTTTTTGGATAGTCTAGATTCTTTTACTTTCCACCTGAATTTTTAGATCAGTCTGGAGAGCAATAATATTAGAACCACCAATCTGTGAACATAAAATATCTTTTCATTTATTAAAGTTCATCTTTAGTTTTTTTTCAACACAACTGCAGAATTATATCTTTCATTAAGTGTAGTACTAAGATTTTTGTTGTTACTGTAAGTGGAAATTTTTTTGTTTTCCTGCATGTGTAATGTGTATAGAAAAAGGTTTTGTCTGTAGGTTTATATTCTATAATATTGCTCTGAACTAATTTACTGGTTTTAATAGTTTTTTTTGTTTTGTTTTGTTTTGTTTTTAAGTGTATAACTTAGGGTTTTCTGTATACATGAAGACGATATATGAAGATGGTCTTCTTCCTTTTCATCTGGATGACCTTCACTTTCTAGCCTAATTAGTTTGGTTAGATTCTCAGCAAAAGATTTATCAGAGTAGCAAGACTGGACGTGGTTTTCTTGTTTTCTGATCTTAGGGAGTAAACAAAAACATCCCATCTTTCAGTAGTAACTATGATGTTAGCTGTGAGATTTTGGGAGGTATTTTTGTTTGTTCTATTTTGTTGTTAAGCCACACCCAGCTTTGCTCAGGGCTTACTCCTGGCTCTGCACTCAGTTCTACCTCCTGGGGTGGGGGGGGGGGGGCATTGGACCATATGACCATGTGGGATCAAGCTTGGGACAGATGCGTGCCAGACAAGTGCCCTACCTGCAGTGCTGTCACTGTGGCCCCCAAGCTCTGAGTTTTTTTTTTTTTATGAATTCCCTTTATTTGGTGAGAAAATTCTATTTCATGTATGTTGTATTTCTAGCTACCAGCTGGCTGTATTATGCATGTGATAGTAGATCTGCGTAGGGAGTTGATACGTTTTAGTATATCAACTAGTGGTGTGCCTCAGCAACCAGTGTGCAGCATGTGTGCTCTGCCCTTTGGGGACATCTCCGTGACCCCTAGATAGTTAAGGTCGTTTTTTACTTTGCCTTGAAATGAACAGATGTATCATGTAGAGAATATTTCCATTTAACTTTGGCTGTTTCATATTAGTGAGAGTTCTTTGCAATGAAGTGATATACTCAATATATGTTTGATTTTATTTTTGTACTAACAGTAGAGAAAGATTTATTTCTTGAGGCATACTATTGAGGCAACAAACTATTCTCAGAGAATTTGCTGTTTGGCCAGTTTTTTAGTAAACAAGTTGGGCAGAATATGTTATTACCCTATTCAAGTTAACATGTATGTGAACTAGATGCTAAGGATTCTTTGCTGTAGTAATGTGCTTCATAGACAAAGAGCTGCATCTCGGAGGTGGCTTTTCTTTTAAATGTAGGAGTATTGCTGTTTATTCAGCCATTGATTAGGCTGATTGAATTGGCCATGAACTCCACAGGAGGTGGCTTATTTATTATGGCCTTCTTAGTCTTTCCTTCTGAGCACTTGAGCTTTCAGTTTTGCTACAACCTGCCGGTTATTTTTGTTGGTATTGGCTTTGCTGTAGTATATACAGAGATAAAGGAAAAGGATTAAGATTAGACCAGGTGTAAAAGTAATTGTTTCAAAATTAAACAAAGGATAAAACGGTTAGCTTTATTTTCTTTGAAGGCTTTAGTGGTTTATAGCGAAGGAATTATGAAGGAATTCCATGGGCCTTTGGAAGAATAGGAGTGTCATACACATGAGATCAGAGATGTTCAAGCTGGTCTTCCTTGACAGTAAAGTTACTGGAGATTGTAGTCACTTTTTTTAAAAAGCATTGTACCTTATAAATTACATTTTACATATTAAGAAAACTTTTAAAAATTCTCAATGCAATTCCACTTTATTTTGTAGATTTGTACTATGGTGGGGAAGCTTTCTCTGTAGAGCAGCCACAGTCTTTTACTTGTCCATATTGTGGAAAAATGGGCTATACGGAGACATCTCTTCAAGAACATGTTACTTCTGAACATGCAGAAACATCCACGGAAGTGGTAAGTGACGTAGCCTTGTGTCTAAAATGGTTTTATAAGGTATTTTTTTCTAACATAAATAAAGCTATTTACTGTTATCTAAGTGTAATGATACTATTGTATAATATAATTATGAAAATTCTGTTTTAAATAGCAAGTTTCACATGTTCTCAAAGGCTTTATATACACACGATAATGCCCCTCATTGACTCACATGTTTTCTTGCCCTTTCGCTGAAAATAGTGTGTGGACTGAAGAGATGGTGTAGGGGTTAAGGTTCATGTCTATCTTGCAGCTAACCCCAATTTGATACCTGGCACTGCATGGGCCCTTGGGTACCACTGGGTGTGGTCCTGGAGACCCGGATCACCTCACTTCGAGGGTGTCCAGTGGAGTTCACCAGCACCACAGGCAGAGTCCCTGGGAGGGCTTCATTCTACACTGTCTTCCTGAGTACCACTTGGGGGACCGCCCCACCCCCCCAAAAAAAAGAATTTGAAATCTTGACTGAATTCAGGAGCTCTCCAGTTAAGTACATTGTGAAAAGAATACCAACCTGCAGCACTTGTCTTTCTGTTGTATTCTCGTGCCTGCTTAGGTTTTCTTGAGTAAGGAAACAGGAGAAAATGGGGGGACGGGGGAATTTTTGATTAAGTATTAAGTAGAAAGCCATTTTCATACTTAGATGTTCGTTATTATATTGTGTTGTAGCTGACATCTGATTGGCCCTCATCCCATCAAATCTCTTGCTTTACAGCTTAGAATTCTGAGGTTCCTTGAAGTTTGTCCTCCTCTGATATTTTTCCCAGTGGCTATGTGCCAAGGAGCCTGAGTAGTACGCAGTCTTTAAAGTCCTCTGAGTGTCAGCACACATGTACCTTTTAAGGAATGAAGGGCCAGAGATGTGATTAATTGGTAGTTTTCCTTGCATGTTCAATTCTCCACACCACAGAAAACTTAACAGAATTTCTCCAGTGTCACCATTCTTCATTACCATTGATAATAATGGATAAATAAGAGATGAGACATGGGTATAGGATTTGGAAATTTGGGGCATAAGCATTTGCACATTGCATCAATAATCATTCCTAAATAGACTCAAAAGAGATGAACTCAATTCAAGTGAGTGTGTCCAAGAACATGAGCTAATACAGGGCAGGGCAGGTGCTGGAGCTAAGAGCCCAGCTGCAGAGCCCTGTCCTGTTCCGGAGACACGTCTATTAACAGTTGGGAGTAGTGCAAATTCACATTCATTCCCATTCATACTCAAGGGCTAGGAATGCAGCCCAGCAATAAAAATCTTTATTTGTTTTCCTTGTGTTTATGACACCTGGTTTGAGTCCTGACTCTGCAGAAAGAAAATTAAAAAGAGTTATGTAGTTTAAGAAGTTGGTAAATTTGGGACCAGAGCAATAGTACAGTGGATAGGGTGTTTGTCTTTCAAGCAGCCAGACAGGTATGACCATCCCCCCCCCCCCCCCCCCAAATAAAGAAGTTGATAAATTTACATTATACAGTCCTAAACTATATAGCAGGTTAGAAATGCTCTCATTTTGTATCCTGGGAACCCTCAGAAGTACTTTAGTTCATATCACTGCTATTTTACTGCTGTTTATGTTTTTGTTCTGTTTTGCATCCTTTTGTTACAATTTCATACCATGATGAAGAACGCTAACTTGACTCCATCTCTATTCTGGTTATTGTTGAAAACTTGTAGTAATTTTTCTTTGGCTAAACTTTTGTTAATTTAGGGCTAGAGCAATAGCACAGCAGGTAGGACACTTGCCTTGCATGTGATTGACCTAGGTTTGATCCCTAGGTTTGGTCCCATATGGTCACCTGATCCCACCAGTAGTGATCCCTGAGCACAGAACCAGCAGTAACTCCTTGATATCACCAGGTGTGACCCAAAACCCTCCTCCAGTCTTTTTTGTTAATTTTAGATACTTGGTATTTGATATGTTTCCCTAGATACAATGGGATATGTTTCTCTTGTTATCAGTAGGTATTAAAATCATTACTGATCAGAGTATAGAATTTCCATTATGAGACTGGACCCAATCATATCTAAAGTCAGAGAACCCAATGTATATTTGAATCTGTTCCACACGTAAAAAGGTCATTATTTATTTTTTAAAAAAGAAAGCAAAAATCAACCTTTGAGAGTCTTGTCTTTTTTTTCTAAATACACAAAATGTGCTTAAGCTCATCTATACCTGATACACAGCTTTAAAATGTGATAGTTCTACTGATGAGTTTGTGATGTTTTCCATAAGTTGTATTGAGTTCTTTGCCTTTATCAGGTTCCAGGGATTTTGAACATAGCTCGTAACAGTGGCCAAACTACATTTCACAGTGATATTCAGAAAGTATTTTAAAGGTTTCTCCTTCATCAGTTCAGTCTTTGCGTTAATGTTGCATCTTCCTCTGTTCTGCCCATAATACATCTCGGCATTTCCTAATGTGAACGGGAAGCTGACCAGAGTCTTTGACATGGAGATATGAGGGGTTTTTTCCCTTTTTTTAATCATATGCTAGAACAAGGGCTGGCATTTTACAGGTTGTTACCTCTGTCTTCGTGACCAGTCCCTACTCTGAAGATGCTGCCTGCTGCAGGCCAGCTTTTGTTGAATCTTTGCACGTTACCCGCTGTAATAGAACCACCTAGTTGCATAGAACTGTCTAGTTGCTATGACCTTAACCCACAGATGTAATGTTAATGGTTAATCACGCATTTTAATTTTTCTTTCTTTTTGCTGTGCCAGAGCTTCATAGATGCAAACTATGACCTCTTCCACTCTGTATATTCCTAGCCCTTCAGACATCATTAATTAAGTTCTAGAGTTCAGGAGTAACTTGTGGGGTTTTTTTTCTTTTTTCTTTTCTTTTTGGGTCACACCTGGTCACACACTCAGGAATTACTCCTGGCGCTGCTCAGGGAACCATATGGGATGCTGGGAATTGAACCTGGGTCGGCCAAGTGCAAGGCAAACGCCCTACCTGCCTGCTATTGCTCCAGCCCCAGGAGTAACTCATGTTACTTTGTTACGGGATTATATTCACATAACAGGAGACTGTATCCTTTTCTATTCCTATTCATATTTTATATCTGTTCATATATCATATTCTTTCTAAACTAAGCACTCACTTCTAGTCTGCTTTATCCCTGTGTTTATAATTTGTACCTTCCCATAGGACCTCTTCTAACCAGCATCCCTTTGGAATAATTAGGGGCAAGAGGCTATATTATTCTGATTTTACTGTCCCTGCTTAAACATTTACTGATACCTGATATAGCTAATAAAATTTATAGAGCCATGGGGCCGGAGCAATAGTACAGCAGGTAAGGCGCTTGTCTTGCACACAACTGAGCTGCATTTGATCCCCCAGCATCTCTGGTGGTCCCCTGAGCATTGCCAGGTGTGGCCAAAAACAGAAAAGTTGGATGGAGCTAGAGAGTACAAGAGCAGTGATGCTTGCATTGCATGTGTCCACCCCCATATCAGTCCCCAGCATTGTCCTCCAGGCACTGTCTGGATGGATAGGAAAGAAAGGAGGGAGGGAGGGAGTTAAAAACTGGAAACAGCTTTGTAGCTCTTGTCTGTATGTTTTGCCTTTATTCCCTTATCTCCTTTTATAACCAATTCCCAACCTAAGAGTTACCTCCCTTCTAATGCAATTAGAATGATAATACAGTGATACAGTGCGTAGGGTACTTGACTTGCACGCAACTGGCCAAGTTCAATCCTCAGGTCCCCCATATAGTCTCCCGAGCCCACCACGAGTGCAAAGCCGGGAGTAACCCCTGAACACCACTGAGTGTGGCCCCAAAATAAAATAACATACTATGAAAAAATCTCACATTGACTGCACAGTAAAGATGATGCTACTTAATTTTTTTTAGGTACACTGTGCATATTCTGAGGAGTCAGTGCAAACACCAGAGTGCTATAAACTGATTTTAAAATTAATACTAAATACAAGTTTTTTAAAACCTTCATAATTGTTATGAATTGTGGTATAGATTGGGTCAGCTGACTGGATGTTGACTGTGGAAATAAGTGAGAGAAGCAGCACGATGAATTGTCAAAGTCTGTCAGCCCAGTAGTGACGGTCTTGTATGTTACCAGCTGTGGTTTGATTCTGGGACTACCAGGAATCATCCCTGAGCACTGCTGGTTGTGGGACCCCTCCTCACCCCCAACGCCTCCCACTCCCCAACCAAATGTTTAGAATAGTGTTCTTAAATGGGTCTTTATGTCTGGAGAGATAGTATAGGGGGCAGGGTTCTGCCTTGTGCATGGCTGACGCTTTCGAACCCTGGCACCGGTGTGGTCCCCTGGGTCTGCCAGGAGTGAAGGGAGTGGTCCCTGAGGTGCTGAGCCGGGTCTAAGACTGAGTACTGCCAGGTGTAGACCCCCAAAATAAAATGATTTTTTCTTAAAGTTCATTTTCTGGAATGTTGTGGGGGACACCCACATTCTCCACCCATGTCCACTTTTAGTTCACTTTATTTTGCCACTGCCCTCTCTTCCCCAGCCTGGTATTCTCAGGTGCATTTCAGTGCCCAGTGTTTATTAACAGTTAATACTCTCCATACTCTGATTTGTTTCTCTGGACACCACAGATGTATAAAGTCATCTGTTATTTGTCCTTGTGCTTTTGAGTTATCTTACTCAGCTGATACTCTAGGGTTGTTTGGTTTTTGTATTTTTGTTTTTTGGGGTTTTTTTTTTTTTGTCCTTGTTGCTGCAGCTGCATAACAAGTTGTTCTTGTGACTGAATAGTATGACTGCAACTTCATCTGTTGTTGGCCTTTAGGATTGCTTCCATATTCTGGCTATTGTACTATATGCTGCATTGACCACAGGTGTGCAGACATCATTTTGAATAAAATGTTTTTGTGTTTTGGTTGTAGATAGCCGAGAAATGGGATAGCCAAGACATATGGGGAATTCCATTCTTTGTCACTGTAACTGTCCTCCCATTGTTCATCGATTTGCTGGAGCAGGTCCAGTAAC